GCCACTGCCCCCCACTCCTCCCATGCTACCCCCATGTACACGGTCATTACTCTTTTTTGTCAGCACTGAAGTCTTTGGTCTTCGACACACCATACAGATGGCTGCTTCCCCCTTCCCTGTGCTGGGAAGGGGGAAGGCATGGGAGTGCCAGGGGACCGAGGCCCTGCCAGGTCGCTTAAACGTTCTAAGGAACCGCACAGGCTGGACTTTGCCAAGGAGGTGCTCTCATTTCCTGTGAGGCCTGCATGACTTCTGCTTGCTCTACCACCTTTAACCCAAATGTCACAGAAGCAAAGGGAGTCGGACCACACTGCGCGCCACTGAGGGAGCTGGGGGGAGGCCTTGCTCGAACGGCCAAAGAGGACATGCGGAAAAGCGGCCCACTGGGCCGTGACTGGTGGCCGGCACACAGCTGACCCAAAGCCCCGGAGGAGGGAAGTATTCCGCCCACCTGTCGCGGCTGTGTGGCACACCACACCGGCCAAGCCCTCGTGAGCAATGGCTTTCCTGGTAAAAGTACACTCAGCCAAGCTGGTCTCGAGTCCTCGACACTGCACGTGCACACACTCAGGGGGATTTTCGTGGAGATGTGCAGGCACGTGAAACTCTCTTTCAGCTTCGAGCGCACCCCTGCGAGTGGAAGAAAGGAACAGCGGTTAGAAAAGGCCAGTGCTCCCATGTGTGACCTCAGCGCGGAGCTCGGTGTCAAGAGTCCTTTTCTCGCGTTCGTTACTCGGAGGTGGGGTGAGATGCGTGTGTCCTCCCAGCCGCTGCAGCTTCACCCGCAGAAGGGAATAGGCCTATGTGAGGTTTGCAGAGATTACTCGGGGCAGGGCCTCTCTGGCGGGCTGAGGGTTAAGTCTCAGCGCCGGCTGTCTGCAGGGCCCTGGCCAGGGAGTGACCCCCCTGGGGCGCAGCAGACCTCACCTGGCCCTCCCTGCTCCCTCAGCAGTGTATTTCAGTAGCTCCGCCTGCTCTGCTCCCTACTCTGTCTCTCACCCCCCTAACTCTGGCCTGCACCCCAGCTCTTCTGCACAAAAATAAACGAAATCTTCAAAAAAATTAACAGGAACAACTGATATAAAGTTACTAGATGAAGTTCAAAACAAATTCTGGTTTCCTTTCCTCTGTTTCTTGTTAAGGGGAAATGCTTCTTCCTCACTTTCGATGTTTCCTTCCAAACGCAGACGTGTCAGCCTCAGTCTCCCTTTGCCTTTTCACTGCTCTTCTCTCCTTGACAGTGGTTTGCTTTGATGAGAGAATTATGGAAGTATGAATAAGGTGCGGTAAAGGCCAGGTCTCCCCCCTTTTTGGGGGGCGCCTCTCTGCATGCCCAAGTGCAGCAAGGCTGACCTGGTGGTTTCACTGCTGCCTAAGATTTGTTCAGAATTTGTGTAGGAAGAGGGCTACCTCAATAACCAGTGTCTGTAGCTGATGAGCTCCAAAGAAACACTTGTTTCAATTGCTCCTTGCTTTTCTTTAGAAATAAATGAGGAAACTGGGTAAAAGTAAAAGGTTGAACAGTGTTGCAGCAGGCAAAGTAAACCAAAATAAAGTGATGATGGCATTGTAACTACCAGACAAATTAGAATCAAAGGCAAAGAGAGAATAAAAAAGAACACAAGGAGGGTGTGTTTAATTGTTGGTGCCGAGTTAGCACATTACCCCCGGGGCTCCGGGGGATGTGCCCCCTGTTGTGCGTGTCAAGGCGGTGATCGGGCCGATAAAGCCATCACAGACTTGTGTTTATCTGCCTAAGATGATACAGGGACGACCTGACCTTTCTCTGCCCTAGCACACTCCCTTGTAAGGGAGTGTCAGCATTTGGCAGCTGCAGGCGGTGTGGCAAGAGAAAATCTCTACTTCCTCCTTTCCCGCCTTAATCTTCCACTTCTACTGCCTAATGGTATATAAAGGGATCGCTGGAAATAAACGAGAGACTCCTGGATGAAGAACCTCGGCGTCCTGTGTTTTCTTTAACCTCATCGTCCCTCGCCGGACTCGGCTCCGATTAGCCGGACGCGGCATTTAATTATTTCAATCTGTAATGAGAATTCAGCAGTCATGAAACAGCAAACAGATGAAAATGGGGGACAAATGAGAGCAATCTGGGGAAATCGAACAGGTGGAGCATTTGAAAAATTTCTCAACCAAAACTACCTGAACCACCAGATAAAATGTAATAAGTGACCTCAATGAAGTAAAAGGAAAGTCAGAGAAATGTTCATTGGATAAAATCAGACCCTTCCTTGACCCTAAACCTGTCAAGGAAGAGGAACTGCAAGGAGAACAAACTCACAATCAATTAAGAGCTCTGGAAAAACCAATTCTGTCATAAATTTGTCAAAGAAAGCAAATCTGCAAATGCTTATCTGAGAGCCCATTTGCTGTATCAGTTTGGCCCCTTCGGCCCAGGAGTCATGTAAGGTGAACTTGCTCCGTCTGTGATCCCTGTGCCCCTTTCTGACCGCTGCCTCTCAGCTTCACAGACTTTTGATTTTTTTTTTTTTAAGATTTATTTATTTGTGCATGCAGAACTGCGGCACAGGCCAGAGGTGCAGGGGCAGTGAGAGGCTTCACCAGAGACAGAGCGGGGAGTAGAACAGGCAGATGGACTAAGTACACTGCTGAGGGGAGCATTGGGTGGGTCAGGAGAGGTCTGCAGCGCCATGTGGTCACCTCCGGGGAGGCGGAAGTCAAACTTATATTCGGAACTGGCTTTAACTTCTTAGTGCTGTGCTTTAACCCGCTGCGCCAGCAGGGAGGGCCCTGCAGACTTCCCCATTAATCTCGCTGATTCCCCATTTTTGTTTGTCTTTGTGTAAATAAAGGCTGGTGCCCACTGGTCTCCATCCCAGCACTCACTTTTACTCCCTCCCCTTTGCGGACACTCGCCCACCTCCCCTTTTCTTTGTTGAACATTGTATAAATAGCCCTGTAACCTGCCAAAGAGCAGGACGGTGGGCTTTCGGACATGAGTCTGCTGCCCTCCTCATTTGCCGACAGATGAAATCACTTTCCTTTTCCTCAAACTCTGTTTCCTTTTATTGGCTGAGGGAAACTGAGACTGGCGTTGGGTAACAAAACCACGAAAATCAGAGTGATAGCAATGACGTTCAGAAGCATAACAAACAAGGTGGAACTGAACACTAGAAACTCAAGGTGGTAAGGACATTCTTATTCTCAAAGATGGTGAGGAATTGCTAAGTCAAGGATGAGTCGTATAAATGTAAACTTAACCACTAGAGGATTGGAACTAGAATGACAAATTTCAAACCAGGTAGAGTAAAAAAGGGGGGGGGGTAAATTTTCTTTTCTTTTCTTTCTTTCTTTTTTCTTTTTTCAAAAAAAGCAATCTTATTGGGTCCTGCCTGGTGGTATAATGAGTTAAAATGCAGCATAGAGAAGCTAGATAAATCCCTGGGCAGCACGAGTTCAATCCCTGGGCAGGGAGCTGATCCACACAGGTCAGCAGACCTCTCCTGACCTGCCCACTGCTCTCCTCAGCAGTGTACTTCATTGATCTGCCTGTTCTGCTCCCCATTGTCTCTGGTAAATCCTCTCACCACCCCTGCACCTCTGCTCTGTATACATACATAAATCTTTTAAAAAAAAAATTAAGAATCACCATAGAGAAAAGAAAAACAACAAGCATTAATGATGTTAAAAACAAAGAAATAGACGATTTACAAACACAGAACTCAAAAACACTAAAGAGACAAATCTCCACAAGACTGATCAACAGAGAAGGTATAAATCAATAACACAAGGTGTGGGCAGAATTGTCGGTAATACAGAGGCGAGCGGCTCTCCAACTTGGCCAGGGAGTCACCCACAGACACGCTGATTAGCAGTGTGCTAAGTGCTAGTCAAAGGAGAGCACAGTTCATCTTCAGAACAATGCTGCAAGGCAGGTACTTAACATTCTCAGGTTACCTAGGAGGAAACCGGTAAGGAAAGTTGAGGGGATCAAAAAACAGAGTTGGAACAATGGGCTCAGTCTTGAGGAAATACACTGGTGCAGCTACTCACTGTGGAAACCCCAGGTCCAGGCAGGCCACGTTGGCCTGAGTTATGCCCCAGCTGCTCTTACAGATAAATATCTTCTCATCTTGGTCTGCAAGTTTGACTTCAACAATTCCATCTGTATCCGTATTTCCATAATTCAAGGAAACGCTAAATGTTTCTAAAATAAAAACCACAAGAATAAACAATAATTTAGACAGTGATTTGCCCCTCTCTTGATTAAAAACCTATAAACGGTTAACTCTGGCACCATGAAGATTTTAACATTTAATGATAAGTGATGGTTTATGAGCGTTTATGATGTGGCTCTGCTACCTAGTGATGCAGAATATCAGAAAACACTCACGCAAACCCTATGCAGATTAAGCGAATATCTATCCTCATTTGTCACATAAGGAACCCAAGTTCCTCCATTTGACACGGAGCGTTGTTTCTTACTCAGGTGGAGAAGCCAAGAACCTAAACTCGCTATCCTGATGTTCCTCCAAAGTTCATGTCTTAATAGTGCAGCAGACACACAATGAGAATGGAAGGAGGGTTTCATTTACAGAGAGCAGAAGTCTGATGCTGACAAAATAATCTCCACCATCTCCCGCCTCTCCCACAGTGACAGAGATACACTCACATAGGAGCTACTTTCTCCTTTTCCATGACTCTTCAGCATCTTAACATAGCATCGCAAAAACGGTTTGGCTGCTCTACGATGGTCCATGCCAAGTTTTAGTTCACAACTAAAGCAAGCTGCAAGCATTCCTCACACGGATGAAGTGTCTGTGATAATCACTAGCAGATGACAGGCTGTCACAGCTAAAACCTCACAAACACTTTCTGTGTGCCAGGTTCTGTGTGAAGAGTTCATTTTATGTAACTTTCACAAGGGCCTCCCGGGCTAGGGACTACTATCAATGATTTTTACAGATGTGGAGAGGGGGACCCAAGAGTTTGCACAGCCTATCAACAACCAAGGGTTTGTGACTAAAGACCTCTCGTCTTAAAGACGCCACTGACTGCACAGCAGGGCCCAGCCTCTCGTGGCAATGAACACAAGTGCAACGACCCAAATACTAAAAGCGTGCTTGGTCATGATGGGCTGGGTGCCCCCTGGGTCACAATCAGGGAGCTGGCATCAGAGAGAAGGTTGTAACGGGCGGGATGAGGGTTGGAAAAAAATGAATGGCAACACAGACCTAGAAGTCCAATCTCCTGTAAACAACTCTTTCCCCTGGATTCTGGACCCGCTCTATGATTCTGGGGATAATCCCTTCAGCCAAGTAGAAGTGAGGGTGGGGAGAATTCTGGAGGGCTGGGTAGCAGAAGTGACAGGGCCTGGAGACCCCTATTTTTTCAATTATCATCCCACTGCTAAGGGGAGTCCAGACAGGAGTTCTGAGTTGTCATAACATTTCTCAGGGGAAGTGGGGTAGGCGATTTCCCTGTGATACTGTAGATGAAACTAGGTGCCTCCTACCTCCACCTGTGCATGTTCCACTCTTCAAAAACTTTGCCTGTGGTTTAAGACACTCAAAACTCTTCTGCTGACAGTAAGTGGGGTAGCTTTTCCCGTTGGTTGAACACACCGCGGTACCGTTCTTGGGGCACTGGTAAGGGAGTTTACAGACACAGGTCCCCTCGATGCACTTCTGCCATGGCTGGCAGAAGACTTTACTGCAGGAGAGATGTGTGTATTGTTCAGCGAGGCACTTTCGGTCTACCAGATCTTCTTGAGATGCATCAGATGCTGAAGTAAGCTGAAAAACACAAACGGTATGTTGGCAACCCACTGAAATCTTTTTGAAGATGAGAAAGCCAAGGGGAGAGATAAAGCAGACTCTCCTACCCCGCAATCCAATCAAGGTGAAGTGTCTGATGTTTACAGACAAGTCTGACCTCAAGTCCCAGCGTGGATATGTAAAATAAAATGGCTTTGGGCCACTTAGTGACCTTGGTGAGATGTGAGTTCCTCATCTGTAAAATGTGGATAAAATAGATTTCACAAGGTTACCATGAGGAGTTGAAATAATACACAAGTGATGGTGAAATCAGTGGGAGCTACTACTTGTCTAACCAATATACAATTCCACCTTTGAAGATATCAAAGATTCGCCTCAGTCATGTTATGGAGTAACAAATTTGGTGCTAAATACAGTTTTGTGGAATGAAATTGATTAATTACATTAATGAACGTAAGATCATCTGTTGAATTCATATTGTTTACATCATTTAATATTAATAATGGTGAACTTTTTCCTGTGCATTCATTGTGTATGTTGTTCTTTGTGAGGTATATTTCCAGCAAACTGGCTCCACATTTCAAAAACAACAAAGTGCATGACGGCATTAATCCGTCAAAGATTAATGATGAAAAGCATTACTGAAATACTACCTAGGTGTTTAAAATTTTGTTCTTAACATGTACTTACATGTATAGAAGTGTATTTATTATTTATCAATAAATATAATCACATATACACACTCAAAAGAGTTTTAGCAATTGTTACTATAGCCTAAACTACAAAACATGATTCAACTGCAGCTGCTACGGCTCTTTTGTCCATGTGAGGGTTTCCCTATTTTGGTCCTACCCTTGGTACTCATAATGAGACAGCAAGTATTTTGATGTGAACTTTGTCTTTTTATTCTAGACAGGGCTACATTGAGGTGCTTGGTCGTCAGAAAACAGACAAGACACAAAACATCTCTGATCATTACCTCTGGCTTCTTCATCAGCTTCCTGCTTTGTTCTTCATCATTAGCTTATAAAGAATAACAAGAATAATGAACTATGACCAGAATGAGGAAAAGTCCACTGTTTCTCCCTTGTTGCCCTTCTTTAAAAAGTCATGTGGAATCATTAGTCCCAGAATGAGCTGTTCTGACCCCACTACAGAAGTTTAAAAGGAAGACCTGAAAGGATCAAACTGTTTTCAAATAACTTAGCTGCATGTCACCATAAAGTTCAGTAATATGAACAGTAATAAAAAAAATATACAGTATCCCAGTTAGTAAAATTAGTATGTCAGGCATGCAGAAGAAAAAATTCCAGTCATGCAAAGAAGGAAGAAAATATGACCCACATTAATGACAAAAATCAATCAGTCGGAACATACCCAAACTTCTAACACATATGTCAGAACAGCAGGCAAAGATATTAAAATAGCTATTGTAATGCTATTCAGAAGGTTATGATGCTACGTGAAAGACACAAAAGAGACTGAAATGGAATTTCTAGTTATGAGAACTCTCATGTTTGAGACGGAAACAATATATTTGACGAAACTAACAACAAATAGGGTATCACAGGAGAAAAAAATAGCAAGCCTAGAGATTTGTTAATAGAAACTATGTAGAATGAAACTTACAAGTAGCAGGGAATTAAAAAAAAAAACACACACAAGATAGCAGAAAAAGAGTGAGCGTGGGTTGAAGCAGTCTTGGATGTACCAAGAGTCCCTGACAAACAAAAGTATACTGGAAGAAATAATGTCTAAAAAAATCCAAATATGATAAAAACTATAAATCCACAGACCTAACGAACTAAATAAACCTCCAGATCGGACACACCAAGGTAAGTTATAGTCAAAGTATTCAAATACCAATAATAAAGAGGAAAAGCCTTCAAAATAACCAAAGGAAAAAAGACAGTATATACAAAGGACAAGGAGTAGGGTGACAGCAGATATCTCATAAATAATGCAAGGAAATCACACTGAAGCAACATTTTTAAAGTACTGGGGAAAAAAAAAACAACTGTCACCTCCTGCTGGGGAAAGACCCAGTAAAAAAAATAATCAAAAAGCCAAGGCAAAATAACCACTTTTTTAGGCACAGAAAGCATCAGAACAGGAGAATACCTGAGTCCTTGGAACTATCAAACAATGAGTATTCTATTTGAAAATCGGGCCTACATAAGGAATGAAGAATCCTGGACATCTCTGGGACTTCTTTTTTTTTTTTTTGCATTTATTTATTTATGCACACAGAATTGGGAATTGGGATACAGGCCAGAGGTGCAGGGGGTGAGAGGATTCACCAGAGACAGAGTGAGGAGCAGAACAGACCAACTGATGAGGTACACTGCTGAGGTCTGCCACGCCATGTGGGTCAGCTCCCTGGCTGGGAATCCAACTTGTGCTGCAGTGGCTGCAGCCAGCTTTACAAGCTGCACTTTAATCCATTGCACCACCAGGGATGGTCCTCTGGGACTTTTTAATGTGGTTTGTTCTTGCTTTCTGTAGACTGTAGCTGTTTAGTGCCATTTTTATAAGGTTTTGTAAAATTTCATTTTCTCATGCATGACTCTGAAGTCTTGCTCCTCCAGCTTGTATTCTGAGTGAAAGAGTAAGACATTCTTCACATCAACAACAAATTGCAAGCCTGCAGACTGCATCTTTGCTGAGGCCTGCTCTGTGCTGGGAGCCACTGGAAATTCCACGCCTGCCTTGGCTCTGGCTTGCACTCAGCCTAGAGACCATCTAGAAGTGCACATGTAGTGTCTTCTCGGGCTCTTCTGGATATGCCTCCTACTGGCTGTGTGTGTTGCTTTCTAAGTTCCCCCGAGGGCTTCTGACAGGTCTGATTTTCCATGGAGACACTGCCTCATTTCCTCTCAAACTTAGGCATTCTCTGGTAATTTCTCAACTGTAACCTCTTGTCCCAGCTGGCTGTGATGTGTTTGCCTCACAGTGTTTATAAGGAATGTCTGCTGCTTCCGACTGAGTCCCAAGTTGGGTGACAAACAGAAAAGTAACTCGTGTCAGTGCATCAAATAGTGCCCAGGAAGGTGGGATTCAATAAATATTTTTACAATAGTCACCTCTGGTCCTTCTACAACTAGGGACCAGAGTTCTACTGGGCACATGGCCTGCCATCTTCACGACTGCCACTGAGCTGGGACAGGGTGAAGCAAAGGTGAAGAAACGGCCCAGAATGAATTTTTTCACCTCTTTAAGTTTCCTTTTCTTCCTTCGGCATTCATTTGGATGCTGCATCCCTTTGATTGAAAACCCAAAATCTGCCAAGTTGGTTCTGACGGTCTCCACTGCTGTTGTTTGCTTAATCGATGGCAGGTGTTTGGAACCGTCTGCTATGCCTCTTCTGCAGCCACCATTTTCTGCTTACCCACTGCCTCCCTGCACGCTCTTTGCCCAGTATGTCGTCGCTGGCTAAACTTCACTCAAGGTATGTCTCTTCAAAATGCTACCCATGTAAAGGTAGGTTTGTAGTAAATTTTAGGATGAAATGTAAAAGGAGGGTGGCAGTCAGGAGTGATGTCACAATGTGGCACTCTCACGGAGAGAGCCATGTTGAGTGAAATACTTTTGTATTCTTTCATGTCCCATGGTTATTACTGTAACAAACAGCTTGTCCCTCTGCTCTTAGGGTTTCTCCTCCATCCTTTTCTGAGTTTCCTAATTTGTTTGGGCAGCTTATGTAAAACTAATCCTCATTTAACTGTTCACAGTAACTTTAATCCATCCCGCCGCCAAAGCACCCTTGTCATTGGCATACTTCATCTCAAACTTGGTCCATCAATATATTCTGGTAAAGGAGGAAGCAGTGTTTTTCATCCCTGGAGGAAATCTGCTGTCAGCCTTCAGAGCAACCAAAGTCTCTCCCAGCTGTACATGCTTTATTTCATTTTGAAGACACATGTCCTTTTTTATCCCCTGCCCCTCTGGCCTGTACTCCAGTTCTTATAGGCATAAACAAATACATCTTTTAAAAAATCAAAATAAAAATGAATAAAACAGAATTTCCAAATTTTGACAAATGTATGTGTCAAAAAAGAAAACAGAAGTCACCACCAAGCCCATTGCCCAGGGATTCCAACTGCTGCCTGTTTGATATACACCCTAGAAGGACGTTCCCACCGCTCTGTGCAGAAGAAGCTCTGTCTCTGTTTACACATACAGCCGCACAATTGTGTGCTTTTTTTAAAACAAAAATTAGGGCTTAGTAAGACTTTTTCATTTCAGTAAATATAAAATGGCTACATGTTACCTCATTGTGACTTCAATATTTTATCAGTTTTTGATCAATGGGCATTCAGTTTATTTCTATGTTCATAATATAAAAATGAAATCAATAATCCTGTTCCATAAGTTACACTCAACTTAAAAGCATGTAATTCTGATTTCTTAAGTAGTTTTGTCTAACATGTGTTTCTATATGGTGGCATGAAGATGCAAGTTCTTCAGAACCCTGTATCAGAATGCCCTGATCACGCCACTGGGCCATGACCAACACTCTACGCCTTAAACACTTCTCTAACCCAAACACGTGTAACCCTCCAACTGGCTACAGTCTGTCATTTCAGTTTTATCAGTTTGAGTTGCTCACAGTGTCTCCACCCTGACCAAATGGATTTTTGGGCTGAAGGAAACTGACGTCTTGCTATGTTCTTGCAACAGCCACTAGCTGGGTCTCCAGGCTGGACAGCATGGAAGCTATTTCTTCCTCCTGTCAGATGACCAAATCTAATCCAGAATTAAAGGCATACTCAAATCTCACCCAGCCCATAAACTCTTCATGATCTCCAAGGATGAAGATGTTCCTTTTCACTCAAGTGGCTTGGCACACAGTAATTAAGTATTTGTAACAATTAAATATATAAGGTCTTAAACATTTCTTCCTCCTATGCTATCAAGTGTTATCTGAATCTCATTATTTCTTATTCTTACTGGCACATTTATATCGTCTTCCTACAGCTATACTATTAGACTCCTGGAGAACAAGACCAGTTGTACCACATTGCCTTGCACATAGGAATCTGCTAAGTAGTTACTGACTCAATGGTTACTATGCATTATAGATAGATGTTGGCATTCAGTTCAGTTCTTAGGCACAGATAAAAACAAATGAAGGTGATTTTCTTAAAGCCCAAGCAAGTAAGTTAGTACAAATGATCTTGTTCTCCGATCATTCAGGATCATGTAGGAAGATGATCTCCGATCATGTAGGAAGATGATATAAATATGCCAATTCTGTGCCTAGGAACTGAACTAAATGACAACTGAACTGTTGGCAAATGAAACGCTTACTTTTTAAGTCTACATACATTAAAGATTTCTCTATATTACACATATATTTAACATATATATTTTCTATCATATATATATTTTATATTTAAAATACTTTGAACAAATATTGAATCACCTACCTTGCAAAAACTTAAGTGAAAGCAGAAAAGTAACGGAACAACATGTACAAGCTTCATGTTGGAAGCAGTCAGTCTGTGTCTCTACCGAGGACTCCTCCCCACTCTAGATAGTTCAAATTTAATTTTTAACCTCTGAAAAAATATTTAAAAAGAGCAAGACGTCTAAAGAGCTTTGTACTTTTGAACTCATAAAATATTTGCCTAAAATGCAGGGTGTTACCGTAACTGAAACCAAAAATGGCCTTCCTAGGAAGTACTTGAGGGAGCAGACCAATAGGAACTGTGTTTCCTCCAGAGAAAAGTGATTTCTCCACCTTGTTACTAAACAATGCCTCGGGTTTGCTCTCCAGGGGAGACAGAAAGTAATGGAAGAAAATCTATGAGGTCTTTACAAATGGGATTTCATCAAACAAAAAGCTTCTGTAGGGGAACAGAAATTATGTGGAAAACAGAATATGAAAGAAAATATTTGCACATAATATAGCATATGAAAGAAAATATTTGCATATAACACAAAGGGCTGACATACAAAATATCTTGTGATTCAAGTAGAAGCACAAAAAAGAACCCATGTAACTCTATAAAAAGAAAAACCCAATGTAAAAATGGGCAGAAGAACTGGATAGGCAGTTCTCTAAAGACAGAGTGACAAATGGGTGCATGGAAGAATGCCCCCATCACATGCTGATCACATTAACACACAGAGACATCTATCTTCATACATATGTGAATGTATCAGGAGTTTCTCAGGCGTTTCTCCAGGGTAAACATGATAGAGAAGCAAGGCAATGAAGCCACTTTGAGAGGACAGAGGGATGACATACAGGACAGGAGGAAAATAAAATTAATAAAAGTTAAATTAATAAAACTAATCTTGTAGGAGGCCAAATAGATGGCTTGGTTTTATTTTAGACTTGTTATAAAAGGAAATGGGAGCTGTGGCTATAGTCTGAGGAAATTTTTATTAAGTTCAGTATGTCATCATATGCAGTACAAAGGGGGAGGAAGCCACATTTAAATCTGGAGTCGTTTACTTTTTATTTTTTAAAGATTCATTTATTTATGGGCCCTCCCTGGTGGCGCAGCATGTTAAAGCACAGCACTGGGAAGCTAAAGCCACTTCCGCATGAGTTCCATCCCCGCCTGCCCCAGAGGTGACCACAAGGCGTGGCAGACCTCTCCTGACCGCCCGCTGCTGCCCTCAGCAGTGTACTTCCTCAATCTGCCTGTTCTGCTCCTCACTCTGTCTCTGGTGAAGCCTCTCGCTGCCCCTGAGCCTCTGGCCTGTACCCCAGTTCTGTATGCACAAATAAATCTTTAAAAAAATTATTTATTTATGCATACAATGACCGGGGTACAGGCCAGAGGTGCAGGGGGAGAGAGATTCCCCAGAGACAGAGTGGGGAACAGGACAGGCAGATTGACTGAAACACAAAGGTGAGGGGAGCAGCGGGGGGACAGGAGAGGTCTGCTGTTCCAATGTGGGTCAGCTCCTGGACAGCAATTGCACTAGTGCTACAGTGGGTGCTGACAGCTCCACAGTGCTGTGCTACAGCCCCTTGTGCCATCAGGGAGGGCCCCTGGAACCGTTCTATTGTGATGCAAATACAGTGTCTTAGAAATTAAGAGTATGTTGTAGAACACTGCTTTTATTTCTGAACCAAAGTTCTTATAGATGATACTGGGTGACTTAGGATAGCAGTAACACAAGACAATGTGGTAGTGACACCAGGAGGGTTGAAATGACAGTACACAGGTATCTGTGAAGGAATTAAGAAACTGATAACATGACAAAAAAGAGGCTGCAATCTTGACTGGTGGAGATGGTGACAATAAAACGAGAATGCTCCAAGGTGTGAGTCCAGGGAATGAGAAAGGAAGAGTATGATGCAGCAAGGAGGACAATTAAAGAATAGGAATGAACAACAATTTGGAGGGAGGTGGGATAGTCAGCAAAGGAGAGAGACCTGTGACCTCTTAAGTGTTAAATTTGTCCACCAGACTAGCTGGGGAAGTTAGTTCATGTGTCTGCACATCAGCTCTTTACATGAAAAACAAAGGTGCAGGAAGTAATCTTGAGGGTGATGTCAAAATTCGGTGGTTTCCCACACTAGGTTTTTAAGGGGGGGGGGGGGACACCAAATGAAGACAGAAACAATGATGGCAAACGATAAATCACAATGTGAAACGAGGCGGGCAGTTATGAATAATCACACCTCTGTAGGAGATGGAGAACTGAAAGCCCTATTTATCAAAACTGAATTGTTTTCAGAGAGGAGACTATTACTTTTTCCAGAAATAAGAAGACATATTGTGATTCCAAATACTTCCATAGTGAAGTTTATAACTGCTAACGCCCATATTATCTCACGTCAAGGGGCGGATACACGTCAAGGTAAAGTGTGACAAGATTCAGGTGTAAAAGAAACTAGTCAAATTCAACGGCGGGAGGCGGGAAAGACGTTTTAGTAGAAGCTTAAATCAGATAATGTAGAAAGGAGGGGGCCTTGCTTGCAGTGTAGACCGCGTGGTGTAGGGGCTGGAGCTAAAAGTTTTTGACCAATGGAAAGGTTCGGCGCAGTAAGGAGGACGCACAGAGACAGCGAGCGAGCGAGGCCAGTAAGGCCTAAAGCCAAAAGTAGGTTTATTTCTGCGTCCGGCCGAGGGTCACTGACCCCAGAGCGAGTTGAGGTCAGCGAAGTCGCGCTGAGGGAGGGATGGGGGGTTTACAGGGAGGGGCGGAAGCGTCCGGCCTGGAACTGGAGCTGCGTTTCTGCCCCGGCTGGGTTAACCGGTGGTGACAAGCAGGCCGTGAGGTTTCGCTCCCGAGTAACTGCCGTGCTTGGCGCAGCTGCTCGTCCGTGTGCCTTTAGGCTGGCGCCGGACCCCACACGAATGAACAGACACGGGGCGCAGAAGCGCTCTCCGAGCGCGAGTCCCCGCGGCGTGTATCTGCCTGAGGGGCCCTGGGTCGCGCGTGGTTACGAATGGCGCACGGGCGACGGGATGCGCCAGACAGCGAGCGGCGACGGCAGCCTCCAGGCTCCGATACACCTGCTCCAGCTGCAGCTGCACGGCCGGGCTTCCGGGTGATCGGCCGCGTTTCTCGGAAAGAACCTGGGCGCGTTCTGCAGCCTTCAGCTAGC